TCCAGTGTTTTGTCAGGTCCTAGATTAACCCTTCCCTGGCCTTCTGGTGCCTGGAAAGCTGGTTCACGTTACAGTAGCTACAAATTATAATCTGACGGAAAAGTCTCATAGATCCTCTTCTCTGCACATCCAACTGAAGTGATACCTGATAGGGGAATCTTCTCAAGCTTTCTTCCCCACAGTAGCAGACCTTTGCTCCAAATTAAGGCCTAGGTCTCTGCCTCTGGAAATGTAGGCCCTGCTAGGCCTGGGAGAACTCTAGTCTGTTTTAATACAGTATAGCACCTTTGTTATCTCTTTCTGGCCCCACCTGAGTGCCTTCACAATGAGGGACAACCTCCTGGCCTGATAGAATGGGTCAAAGGACAACTATCCCCTGTGTTCACTCCCTTAAACCAGCCCTTATTGGCCCTGCTAATACCCCTCTGCCCTTGATGCAATTAATGAGCTTATGCACTGCTGACACCCCATTGTCTGGGCTCCCCAGAGAAGGGGAGCCCCACTACTCCACCGAGGGGGACCTTGAGCAGCCAGGCAGCGACCCTTCTCAGTTACTGTGCCCTCCCTCTGGCTCCCTGCCCCTCAGTGTTCCCTGGCACCTCTGTAAACTATCCATGCCCCTGCTGCCTTGTCTCTCATTGTACTTGTACCTCTGCTGTATACTGTGCTATATAAACATGTACTCTATATAAACTGGCCAATTCCTTATGCCCTCATTCAGACTGTTCTGAGGAGGCTCCGCCAACCCTGTCCCTTCCAGCTGATGGAGCCTTCCTTGCAGGAGTTGCTGTGTAGGTGACTTCTGCTGTAGGAAGTACCTGGCTGGTCCACTTTAGGCTAGCTAGTCAGGTCCCAAGCATACACACAACAGTAGAGAACCTTTAGCGCAGTCACACAACAACAAAGAATCAGACAGAGCACTCTCTGAATCAAAGAATCAATGGACAGACTGAGCACTCTCCCGCCCAAAAGCCTCCACCTCAACCCTAAAGTAGACCAGCCTCCCAGGGGTGGGCACAGAGATCACATGGAAACAAACATGTCAACCAGGAATTTCAATCCAATAAGCAACTCTCCTTGAGACCTGGCTGTACAGGATGTAAAAGTGGGGTCCGCCATTGTTAGAAATGAAATTCCAAGCAGTGACAATATGGGAGGCAAAGTACCAAGCAGTAATAGTTTACTACATTCTTGCAAGAGCAGGTGCCCACCACACAGGTAGCGCGCCGTTTTCACAAAAGACATTGCCTTTTATTCCCTTTTCCCAGCTTGCAGACCCTGCCTCTTTTCTCCCTCTGGCTGGGTTATTAAGAGGTCACAATCTTCTCCGTCTGCCCACATCATACCACTCCTTGATATGTTCCCCCTCCCACTCATACGTCCCATGTTCATGCTAATGAGTCCATTACCTGTGAGAGGTGTGTCAGTTATCATTCATAAGCCTATTAAGCGTGCGCACTACTTACTATAAGTTCAATAGGTCATCTTGGCCTTGTAGCAGTCTCGCTTGATGCCAACTTATTTCCCAAATCTTGTAGGAGGATGAGATAGGAGAACAGCCCTTCCTCCAAGCTCATTACGGCCAGTTGTAAGAGGCAATCAATTTCCTACTCCCTTCCACAAAAGGTGAAGGTTTTGCCATTGCCCCCAACCTCACCTCTCTTGTGTTCTCCAGAACCTTGATGTAAGAAGCACTATTGTTTTTATTACAACTCTTTACATGGTTCAGTCCTCAGGCCCTTTGGCCTTAAGAGGTTTCAATGGCCTTACCCTAGCCCTTTATTTTATCCTTGCTTCAGTTATCACTTTCCTGCTTAGTAACAGTAATTTTCCATTTTTCACAGCCATGCGCCTGGGATCAATTGCCATTTTGCTGTGATCAAATTTATTCTTGAGAATAAAGATACTTTTTCAATCTCTCTCCCTTGTCATGCTTCAATAGGCCAAGTGCCTCAAGGTCTGGACCCCCTGTATCCAACACTGCTAAATGCTTTATGAATGATAGCTAGCTTATTTGTATTTTGTTGGAATCTGGCATAGTCATTTCCTTGGGATCACAGGAACTTCTTACCCCCAGGCATGTGTACTTCTTGAGGTTAATTTATTAGCCCTTCTGTTTAACCCATAAAGTGCCCCAGCTGGCTTTCTGTTTATCCTTCACACCTACCTGTGAAAATGTTCCCACAAATGGTTTGCCTCTGACAAGATCATTGTCAGGTGAATTGACTGTAGCAGGCAGATTCCCCGGATTCCCCACTCCCACTGTCAACTGGGCTGAAAGTTCCACCCAGTAACTCGCTAGTTCCAGAACCCCAGACATTGGATTCAGTACATAGCAACCCAAGCACCGAGGGAAAATATGGATTTATTAAAAGCTAAAAGACAGGGGTGCACAGCTAAAACAAGGAATGAAAGGGAAGGGAAGAGAACGGAAACGGGAGTTGGAGAGCAGCAGTAATACAATTCACAGCCAACCGAAGCCCCACCACCACCAATCCTAGTCCTTGTTGGTCTCCCCTGCTGCAAAGTAACAAAGCTCAGCCTAGCCTTAGCTACACACACAAATACTAACTATATCTGTCTGTGTGGCACAGACAGTGCAGGGGCAAAACATTCTCTAGCACAGAGTCTGGCAACAAGAGCAGATCCTCTCCTTAAAGAGGAGCCCTGAGCCCCTCAGGTTCCCAGCTTTATTGCTCCCAACCTCAGATGATCCCTGCGGTGATGGTTCATGGGTGATCCCGGCTGAAGACCATTTGCACTTATTGCCGCAATCTCCCGTCTTTGCGTGTAAATTCCCCCGTCTTTGGGTGTTGTTTTCAACCGTCGGCATTTCCTGGCGGTCAGTGAAAGAGCAGCATCTCGCTCGCCAGGACCAGCGCGGGGCCGCCTGCGCTCTCCCTGCAGATCCCTCCCTGGGGACGGGAGAGGCAGCTCCTTGGGAGCCAGTCGGCAGCCCCGCCGCGCCGCGACGCGCCGGTCCGCCCTCTGGGCGGCGACCGAGATCCGGCCTTGTCCTCTCCCTGCTCCGTTTTCCGCTAGCAAAAGAAACGCAGGAGTGTTTTCTCAGCCAGTCTGTGCAGGTATGTGTGGGGGTTGTTGTATTTCAGTATTTAACATTTTGAATATTATTGTATTAAGTAACTTTGATTCTGTATTGCTCTGTTGCTAATACTGTATTTGAATTCGTATTTGTTATAAGTATAGTATTGCTTTTATATTGATTTTGTTTTTCTGCTACTATAAATTTTTGATCAAGTATTATTGAAAAGCAACAGCAGATTTCGCAGTAGCCTTATTTGAATTGCTCCTCTTGTCAGTTAACTCTTCTGCCTGCCAGGCAAATCCTGAGTCAGTTCACGTTGACACTGATTTACGAGGGACTTTGAAGTCAAAGTCCCTGGTACACACAGGGACTTGCTCTTGTTCACACAGGGATGCAACACTGATGCCTTGAACACTTTGCCCATGCTTGTTGTACCCAGTGATGTCTCTGTCCCCATAGAATGCACCTGTGCAGGGTTAGCCTTGTTGCCAGTAGAAAAGCCATAACACTCTGTAAGTACTAGAAAGGTCTCCATCCACCTGGGGCTCCTTTCAGGGCTGGTAAATGTTGGACTTGACCCAACTGGCTTGAGAAAAAAATAACACATACAATGCAGTAGACATGTTTGTGGGCACATTCATATGATAGCGTTACCAAGAATGCCCCCTTTCACTCCACTTAGGCTAAACCAAGGAAGACCACTTAGCCAGAGAGCCGCAGTCATGTTGTATATCCTGTCCAGCAGGGAGGAGGGGGGAACGGAGAGTTGTGAACCCTGTGTGAACTCCTGTGACAGACCAACTGGATGTCCAAGAGGGCAAGTGGGGAGAACCCTTGGCGCCCGGGACCGGTTGGGGTCTCAATAAAAATAGCCTAATGGAAGGGTTATCAGTTACTTCATGCATACAGAGTGTTACTTTATCAAATAGACAAGTTTCATCAAAGGGGTAATAACTTAAAAGGATAGACCAGCTGCAGAGCATCTCCACTGTTATCAAAACAGACAAACTGCAAGGCCGCGCCACTTTTTTGTATCAGAGCTACAAATCGTCTCACTTCTGTAAATCATGCTAGCTTGCTTTATGCTGCCAAGAAACGATTTTCCTTTTTTTTGTGTAACAAGGTATAAATACTCCATGGTCCCTCTAAAACGCGCGGCACTCATCCCATCCTTGTGAGAGAGTGTCGTCCCTATAGGAAATAAACCTTCTCTTGAAAATACCAACTGGTCTCTAATCTCATCTGTAAAACCATGGGACATAACAGTAAAAGCTAGCCCTGAATTTGGAATACAAGGGAAGGTAAAGCCAGAAAGAGCAGGAACAGGAAGAAAGCTGAAGCAGAGAAAACATTAAGTGTGTTACAACAGATATGGGTGGCACTGGCAAAAAAGTGAACTACTGGGAAGATAAAGAGTTAACAGTCAGTGTTCCAGTCCTTGTGTACGGCATCCTCTTCTTGCTTCCTGTTGAGATCATTTCCACACTGGCAATCAGAGAGAAAGCATATCGGAATATATCGTAAGTAGATTGGGGCAGAGTTAAATTGATCTGGGGATAGTGTTTAACTTGACCTCGGAAAACCAAAAGTCATACAGAGTTCCTTTCCCATCAGTACTGAATAGACGGGACCCATTTCAGGATAGGAAGAGTTCCCTACTAGCATGTACTGACTTTTTCTTTGAGAAAGAAAATTCTTTGAGAAGTTAACTGTTGGATGAAAATTACTAAGAAACATGGAGACAGAGTGAGTCGGAAGGGGCCTCCCAGACCATCTAGTCCATGGGTCCTCAAACTACGGCCCATGGGCCAGTTATGGCCTGCCGTGCTCATTTTTCCAGCCCACCTCAGAGCTTTTGGACTTGCTCGGAGTCCAAAAGTTCTGAGCTGCTGCAGGCATTCTTTGCAACTGAGCAGAGAGCCGGCACAGGTGCCTAATTGTAAAAGCGCAACTGTGGATGCACCGGCTCCCCCCACCCCCATTGCATGCATATACAGAGTGGGAAACAGAAGAGAGGAGGGTGGGAGAGAGATGAAGATGCTAAAAAAAGGATTGAAGGTAAGAAAAATATAACTTTTTAAAATCCATTTCTAAGTCCCTCTAAGCATTCCCCTACTTGCATTAAGTCAGCTTGTTCATTTAAACCAGTCTGCTTTCCCCCCTCTGTCTGCTGCCAGCCTGAGGCTCTTGTGAAATTTTCCTCTCCAGGCTGGGAAAGGGAGGGGGGCACTTTTGCTGTTTGTTTGGGAGTTCCTTTAGCAAATTCAAATCCCTTGGCAGGGCTAGAACAGGGGTCTTCAAACTTTTTCAACAGGGGGCCAGTTGACAGGTGCCAGTGGTGAGCGTGAGCCACCAAGGCGGTGCCGGCGGGGCGTGTGCACATGTGTGCTCACGCAAGGTGGGGATGGGAGGGGGCACGTGGGGCGAGGCGCCGGCTTGTTCCTGAGGAGATCGTTTTCTCCAAGCAAGTCCAAAACTACCTCCTCGTGGGCAAGCTGCGCACCCGCGCAAAACCTGTGGGGCGTGCCAGTTAAATGGGCATGGCAGGCTGGATCTGACCTGCAGGCCTTAATTTGAGGACCCATGGGCTAGAGGATTCTCCACTATCCGCCCCTCAGAATTGTCTATTTCTGTTCCCTTGTTTTTAAGGAGTAAAACTTGTTCTGATTGCTCTTTAAATCAGCAGCAGCAGCAGCAGTGTGAGGCTCTTGTGAAATTTTCCTCTCCACACTTTCTTGTTGAGAAACGAGGTTGGGAGGAGAGGTAGTTTTTGCTGTTTCTTTGGGGGTTTCTTTAGCAATTTTTTTCAAACTATAGTCCACCCCTCCCAACAGTCTGAGGGACAGTGAACTGGCCCCCTGTTTAAAGAGTTTCAGGACCGCTGATCCAATCTGACCCCCGGCTTCACTCATGACATGCCCACCATGTGCATGTCCAGCCTATCCTTGAACACCCTCACTGATGGGGCCTCAACCACCTCCCATGGAAGCCCATTCCATACCCTCGGGGTCCTGACTGTCAGGAAGTGCTTCCTGGCATCCAAATGGAACCTTGGTTCCCTGCGCTTGGCTCCCTTGGAACGCATCCTGCCCTCCTCTGCAAGGGAAAACAGGTCTCTGCCCTCCTCCGTGTGACACCCCCTCACATAGACTTCTCATAGGCAGCTCTGTTTGGAGAAACCAGACTTGCTCAAGAACACTGCAGATGTCTCTCTCTTATTATACAGGCCTGATTTGTAGGGGCCGTGGTGATGCCGGATAGGGTAAACATTGGTGTTTAATGGCAATGTTGGCCATTGACAGAATCTCGGTTTTCAATTTGTGAGGAGGAAATAAAAACTTGGGTTTGTGGGAAAGATCAAATGTTTGAACCTCCACTGCTTTGTTTCCCAAAGTCCCAGGAATCCTGCAGCAGACTAACGATAATGCAGTACCAGGCAAAGGCAAATTCAACTTCAAGGTTTCAATACAATGAAAGTACAGAGCATTTTATACTCTCCCAGTTACGTACACAGGTACAGAGCAATTAATGACAGAATACAGACATTACAATGAAATTCTTAGGTCATCATATGTTTGGCTGATATTATCTGTTCTGTATATAAGTGACAATAAGATTACAATATTTCTAATTGCAGTGTATTGACATTTTAGTTGAATAAATTCCAGAAACTTGAACCCATCTCTGGGATTGGACATGTAAATTCAGGCTATTGAGAAACTATTCATGAATTCATAAGCTATCTGTTACATTCTGTTTTCAGGAAGGCTCAGACCCTGAGTAATAGATCCGTACCTTTCTGATTGGCTATAGCGTGGGAAGCGCTCTGGACTAGCTAACTAAATACTACTTGGTAAGCTGAGAATTCCTGCACAGACTATGCAACAACATTGTAGGGTGATTGTGTATTCAACTGAATGGCCTGTCTGCTCTGGCTTATAGCTAGAGGGGAGAGGGAAGAGTGCCATTTTCTTAAGGCAACAGCAATATTAAACAGTGACTTGCCTTGGAAAGCCGGTCCTTCCAAGAGAGAGAGCAGGTTTGATTTTATAACACAAAGGCACATATAAGCAATGTTTTTCTGCCTGGATTTATCCAGATTTTCCCAACACTATGACTGGAATACTGGCATTCAGTGCAAGTGTTATTGGGGTGATTTATTTATTTACTTATTTATTTCATTTCATTTCTATGCTGCTCCATAACCCAAAGGTTCTCTGGGTGACTTACAAATGCTAAAACAGCATAAAATACAAAGAATACAATAAAAGAATTAATAATTGGATAAAATAGATAAAACAAAGTAATAACACCTCATAATAAAATATACCCACACATACCCCAAATAGATACAGCCAATAAATTAACCTACATTAAAATAAGTTATCCATAACAGAATATGAAAGTATTAAATTTAATTATCCAAAAGCTGTTAAATAACAAAGTTTTCACCTGGCTTCTAAAGGAAAAAAGAGTTGGCGCCAGTCACATATTGCTGGGAGTGAATTCCAGGGTCTAAATGAGAATGCCCTCCTCCTAGATTTAGAATGGCGCTTCAAAATTCTTCAGAGTGAATAATCAAATCAGGAAGGCCCTGGTGAGCTTCTGTTTACTGCCTCCAAAGGGTTTCTTCTCATCCTATTCTTCTCCTGTTGCAGGTATCAGACTGGCCAACAGAGAGAGAGAGAGG